AAGCCAGAGCCACAATTCTCTATGACAGCAAGAGGAGCATCTCCAATCCTTATGTCCCCCCAATGTCAACACTTTCAGAGTCTTCAAAGGTTCAGTAGAGGCATTATTTTTGCAAAAGGGCGGTACGGGTCAAAGCACAACTTCTGTCCTGCACTTGATGGGCAGATACAGGACAGTCCGGTGCTGCTGCTGTTGTTGGAGTCCCAACTGTGTGTCTCTTATGTTTAATCAGATCCTCTAAGAATTATTGAACAAGTTCAGTTGCCTAAAAAGCCTCCATCAGCAAGCCTTGTCTGCTCCAATTAGAGCCGGGGGCCTTTGTCGGTGAGCAAGGTGTCCGTCACTTTTGTCCAAGTGCACAGGACCCAGACAGCGACCAGACAGGGCCAAACTGCAGATTTAGACAGCAGATTACAGCAGTCAATGACTTCTCGAGCTGAAACGCAGCGGAGGTTTGGACAGCAGCCGTGTGTTGACTCTACCAAGGATTTTCTGTTACTTGTCTGTAGCCACTTTCATTGGGCATATTAAGCCCATCATTTCCATCTGAAGGGTTTGACGAAAGAGGAGAGTGGGAGTCAAAATTTGACTATAATGTATACCTCCAGCTTTGGGTTTCTGCACAATGCACAGTACTTTGCATGCTCTGTGGATACAAAGTGTGCAGATGTCAATGATCCATAAAATAATTAACAAAAATTGAATGCCTTAACATCGAGAGTGCCTGGAAAGCTCTTATAGTTTTTGTCACCCTTGCAACTACAAACTTCACTCTATTATACTGAGATTTTAGGTGATAGCTAATGCAAACTATTTGTATTAGTTAATTCAGTTTAGTGGACCTGAAAAGGCTGGCCCCTTGTAATTTAGTACCCTTAAATAAACAACTGACAGTCTTCTGAGCTTTTATGAAAATTACAAATCAGATTTCTTCCACATCACCATTATGCCTAACTTTGTTGGCTTGTCACAGAAAATCTCACTAAAATAATTAAAGAGCAGTTCAAAGGGCATGGATAGTTTTGCAAGGTGCTACAGTCTCTTTTGCAACCTCAGTCTGATTCCATCAGTCAAGTAGGTGATTGTAATTACAAGCTGACATTTTAAACTCTCAATGCACTGATCCACATTACATGCTTCTGAGAACAAAAGAGATGGTGTACAACCTGATTTACACACATTACGTGCATGAGATGAGAAGGGTGGAACCCGGCAAAGCAGTGCATGAATCACATTATTTGTTTAATTAGCCAGATCACTTCTTGCATTTTCTTCACGGTTTTGATTCACTCTTTAAATCTTTCCAAAGCTTCAGACTCATATGTCATAAGGTTCATCCAGTTCTCCTTCAACGTCTCCGGCAAGATCATTGGTCCCGCAGAGGGCTGATGAAAGCAGTTACTCAGCTGGACATGAATGCAGATTTAGATTGTCTTGTAAAGTTAGCGCTAAGCTGCTAGATTGCTCTTGGAACATCTAAATCTGACTTAAATGACTGTGGGATTGCTGCGGTTAGAGGTTCTCTTCAGAGGGAGTGTCTAGATTTTTTACTTTTTTTCACTTAGGGGGGACCAGGCAGGGGCACACATTGCAGAAGGGTGGGACACTAAAATTGCAATGTCGTCTTAATGCACTGCAGTCTTAGATTGCAATGAACAATGGGCCAAAACTATTTACCATTCAAAGAAGCATATGAATCTGTTTAACATGCAAAGTAAAAGTTGTTTGTTATAGTGGCTTAGGTCACAGGATAATTTCACTAGTCACACAATTAGCTGTTAGCATTCGATTGTTGCCACACCAAAATATTCTGGAAGGATGTGTCAATTATTTATTTTTCCATCAAAAGAATATGAATATTACTTTGATAGATAATGTTGTTTTATTTGGGATGGGGGAATGTAAACATGTTGAAATAGAATTATTATATGTTAACTTTTATTATTTACGGTTAATATTATATCCACACCTCCAAATACTTAGAACAAAAGTCTAATTTCCAGATTTTACTGTCTTCCATTAATGTTTACATTAAATCTATAAAACTATGCTCAAATGATAGAAGAACTGCAACCCTCAAGCACCAGTTTGATATCAACGCTGTAAATCATTGCTTTATGTTCTGTAGGTGTACGCTAACAGTACACTGCTTAATGACTGTAATCTATGCCGTTAATGTAGTTTAACTGTACACAATTCTGTTTTGCTGCAATTATTAACTACAGATTGCAGTTTAATTACCCTCCTCCTTGATGAAGATATTTTTGTTGTGAAGTTGTCTGAGGCACCTTTTGTTCATCATTATTATTAAATATCACACACATCAACTTGCCAAAGAAGATGGAAATTAGCCACATGGCTGAAATCTCATGTATTTACATGTAAAAGTGAATTAATACTCAATGTTGCAACTTGAAACAATCAACAAAAAAAATGTATGAATGGAGATTGTAAAACAGCAAAAGGAGCTTCACAGTGCCGACAAAGCATCACTCTATGTATCATATTATATGAACGATCTGATTGACGGTTATGTGTTAGAAACATATTTATTCTTTGTATCATAATACTTGCTTAATTACGCCTAACTCCATAATCATATGCAGGACTCCTGACCCCCGCCCCCAACCCGCCGAACTCAGCCTATCAATGGTAACACTGATCGCCAGGGGCCAAGTTAAATGTGGCCTTGTTCGTATTCTTCACAAAAGGACTGAGTTCTGCAAGTCTTCAGATAATGTCCCAAGCTCTACAGGGTATTTGTGCAGCGACCCAGTGAACAGAAAATCCACTGTACAGAATGGGAATGGGTGTCAGTGAGCCGAGGCAAACTGCGGAGATCCAACTCTCCCACAACAGTCGCAGCAGCATCAGACTGTTGCAGAAAAGTGCCGACCTGAGCAGCAGATAATAAAATTGCACTTTAGAACCCTAAGTCAGCCAGCTGTCACCAAAACACCAACACAAAGTTTCAGTGCCATGACCTCGGGATTGTTAGTTGGTTCATCTCATGACCGTAGAACGTTGACAAGTGTCTTCAGTCAGATGTTTCTTCAAAGTCGCTGTAACACAGGCCGCTACAGGATATCCTTCCCACAGCTCTCACCAGCTGCAAAAAGTCTGAAAGATCTTGTTTGTATGAAACAGTTTTAGCGGTTTTTAAACATTATTGGAATTTATTGTGACAAGGATAAATAGAAATTTTATCATGATAAGAAATGTATTGTGATACATAATATGCCACCCCTCAGAAAAACCCTGATTGGAGATTTTTTTTCTTCTTTTTCAGAAGAGAAACACATTTTTAAATAAGAAAAAAAAAATCAGAATGAAGCAGAACAACACGGCTCCATGAAGGCAGAAGGAGATAAATCATCAAGCAGTGTTTTTGTCCTTTCACACATCGCAAATCTAGCAGCACTCTGCGTGGCCTTGGGGTTCTCACTCTGAATACACAACACGCCTCAGAGGCTCCCACAGCCAACGTCACTGTTACCTCAGCATCCACTGTTTTCTTTTGTTTAATCAAATCAGGTTGGAGCTGCACATTGCCTTGCACAGAACACAGTGTTATCTCGTTTTCAAAGCAGGTCTGGGGCACGACATGCAATGAATTTTCCTTCGGGTACAACAGAAGGCCTTTGAGATGATTAAAAAAAAAAAAGACGTTTGATACTGGAGGCTGGAATCAAAAAGAAAACGAGGGGTGCTTGTGTTACCTTTGCTACTACTTGGTTATGAGTACTAGTTCGTCTTCAGAAAGCTGTTTGAGGTAGTTCCTCATTCGCCGTTGAGGTGTTGTCCTCGTGACAGTGAAAACCAATATTCCTCCACTTTCCGTGAGATGCGAAGGAGAAGAGGGGGGGTGACGACCGATTGGCGTCACGTTACCAAAGTCAGTGACGGTTCATGAAGAATTCAACAGCTACATAAGCCGCCATCCAGCCACCATCTGTGGGTGACCGGCTGATGGACCAAATCACTTTATCGAACTGCTGCAAAACACATCATCCCAAATGAGCACAAATATGCTGAGAAAATATAAATGGAGCAAAGTTAAAGTGGCTCACAGGAAAAGGGAAGTTTTCCTGTTGATGGTCAAGAGACAATTTACCTCAAGAGTCTCAAACTTTCAAACAGATTTTTACAAACGCACTTCCAATAAACTGTTGTCGTGTTTTCAGTATAGTTTCAGCTTAAAAAGTCAGTGACTGTATACAAGAATCTCTGGTTTTATATGTGAAAAGAGATAGTTACGCACCCTCCCTTGCAGAAGATGTACGGTAGGTTTGATCATCTTCCAATACAAAACAGCGATGTATCTGTTGAAATTTCTTCAACGACAAAAAGGTTCAGAAAAATACTGAAGAATCTCTCAATAAAGTCGGTGCCAGGCTAGACGGGGCTTCTCTGTTTCTTTCTCAGTGGCGGAGTTAGACTTTTATCGTCAGGGGCAGCAGGGGGGCTAAGGCTATGGGAATGATTTGACTCAAAGGAAGTCCTGATCATTCATAAAACTTCTTTGACTAAAAATCCTTTAGAAATGTGATCAGTGGACACTGACATTAGCATTGGGTACGTCCGTGCATCGTGCTTAGCGTAGAAATGCTATTTTAGGCTTGTGTAGCTTCAGTGGTAGGCTAATTCCTTTTAGCACAACTTGAACACAACAGTGTTTTCCAGTGTCCCGTCAGATTGGTTTTGAAGCAAAAATGAACACCCAGAGGGGAAAGAGAAGTGGCTTTGTCATCCATCGCTGCTATTGTCAGATGTTGCTTGTGCGCCGGTTTTATGGGCGTACCAGAAACACACAAAGGTTCCAGCTTTTGCAAGGGAAAAAAGAAAATTATTTATGTTTGATGCATTCAAGTCTATATTCTCAATAAAATAAAATTAGTGCATTAAAGTCACACCGCCCTCCCCTCTGCTTATGCCGCTCCTCCTACTTCACATAACACATAGATACAAAACAGTCAGAGTCTGATTAAGATACGACTTTATTATATTTGCAATGGAATTGAAGTGTCAGATGCTGGTGGAAGCATTGCGGAGCCTGGAGAAGCAGGACTCAGTCCACTGAGCCAGGCGTGAGTATGAAGCAGCTCCAAGGTGGCTCGCTTCTTACACTCCTCCTCCAAACAGAGATGGAGGAAACCAAGGCACTCTAGAACAAACCCAACGAGAGAATTTTGCACCAGAAAATAGGCAGACTAATCGCAGCTGCTGGTTATGCACCCACCTCGGGAGAGGTTGTTACTGAATTGAATCCAGTCCATCGCGAAAACCCTGGTGTCAAACTGACAGCTGTGCAACATGCAGTAAAGCATTACTCCCAGCTGCCAAACTGTGGTGGGAATCGGTTTGTATGTTTTATGTTTGAACCACTCTGGGGGAGCATATTGAAGAGTACCTGGAAAACATGCATAGACAAAGTGGACCGGATTCTTTTGTTTGTTTGTTCTCAGTTTTCTTTTCCTGTGGAAGCTTCATGAGATCATTGGTTCAGTTTCATACATCCCGGGAGATAAATACAGTGGAAACCATTTACATACACCAAATAAAAAGATACAAGCATTAATTTCTGATAGAAGTTAAATCAGACCACATTTTTCTTGTTTGCACAATTACTTCTACTTGCTAAAGGCCAGAAAACTTAAAAATATGTCTTAGAGATTTTGTTTTGTAACTGAACTTGAATTCAGAAGTTTAGCTTGACGTAGTTTAGTGCGACTACTATTAGGTCAGTGGTTCGCAAAGATGTTCTTCTTCTTGCTAAGTTTAAGAAATAGTTTTGGTAACTCTAACTAAGCCGAAGCAAGGAAAGCCTGGTCTGATTTAACTTCAGACTGAGAAAAGAAAATGTAGGCGTAAATGTAAATATTTGGTTTCAACTGGGAAAGGACTCAAATACGATCTCAAACTTATGTTAAATGTTTAATAAAGTTAAGTTATACCCTGGAAATAGTGGTAAATTTTCTTCAGCACATAACTACCGCAGCCAAAGTCAATAATACGGAGCCGCGGCCCTGTGGGCCTGATTTCTACCAGCGTGTTCTCCAACTTCAAGTCCCGGTGGAAAACACCTTTATTGTACATTTCCACGGCGGCGTTCACCAATTGGTTCATGAAACCCTGAAGTAAAACAACAAACAAAATGTCTCCTGTGCTTAAATACATGATACATGTTGACTTTATTTTTTGAGACAGAATAAAATGCATTGCTGTGAAAATATATCTGCCACCTTTAAAGACGCAGTATGCAAATGTTATAATATGCTTTTCACATATTTGTTAAAATTGCCACATTGTCGTGACAATATAACATGAGACAGATGATCTGTGAAAACAGGAACTAAAGTTTGATTCTCTTTCTGCATTTAAAAAGCAATACAAAATCATTACGTTGAAGTGATGTGGCTTTGAATAAGCGGATGGTTTTTTTTCTGCATATTCGAAATATACAGAGTTAAATAACTAATTTTCTTTTCATGTGAATCGAAGCCAGATGAAAATCTACTAATTCTTCTGCTCCTTTTCATCCATGAATTATATTAGCCTGTCACATAAACTATTTATATATATTATTGAGTGACTGAAATAAAAAATAGAATGAAATGAATGAAAATGTCTATGTTTCAAATATAGTTATTTAAACTGCAGTATACAATTTTCATGAAAAAATAAAAAAATTTTTTTGTTTTTTTACATATTTCTTGAAACTGTCACTATGTCATGACCATTGATGGCATAGTTACTTTGAAAAAGTAACTAATTACTGATTACTCCTTGAAAAAGTAACTTAGTTAGATTACCAATTACTTGATTTGGAAAGTAACTAAGTTACATTAAAAGTAACTATTTTAATTACTTCAAGCTGCTGCTAACAACAACGCTCTGCCTCCTGTGAAAATCACATTGATCTTTGCAAAAACTTAATTGGAAGTTATTTTATAATGATCATATCAACAATGTGTCTCCACTTTTATGGTTGAGACATAAAACCATAGTTTAATGGTTACAACAACAAAAAAAACGTTAGTAATTTGTGCGTATTATTGTGTGTTCCACTGTTGTCTGGAAAATCTAGTAGACAATATGGTATGAGACACATAATCTATGGAAAAAAATATTGAGCTCCTCTGCCTGTTGTGAATGCTATGCTAGTTAACATGGCCACCGATGATGACGGTTTACCTGTAACATTGAGTTGTTTCTCTGCAATTAGCACATTTAGCAGTTAGGATGATTGACAGCGCTAAGACCCGCCTCCTTGCTCTGATTGGCTGTTTTTGCATTTCTTCAGCCTGCACTTGTAGCTCAGGAAGGAGGTGAAGGAGCTCGATCTATTCACAAATTATCTGTCTCATAATACACTGTCATGGTGATAGTTTCAACAAATATATAGATACTTTGGCTTTAACCAAAACATAAAATGCGGTGCTACATCTTTAAAAGTAAGACGAATCAAAACAAGTCTGAGGCGGCCAGAGCCGTTAGATTCCTGAGGTGACACCAGCCGTTTGGCTTCCCTACCCTGGCCTCATCTTCCTTCAGACGACCTCCTCGGAAGTGAATGTACTGCGCAAGATCCAAGGAGAACAGCGGCCTTTCCATAACAAGGACAAGCTTTTGATCCAGACGGTACCAGTCCAGCAGGGTGACGGCGGCAAACTTCCCGACTGCTTGCGGCCCACCTCCAGCTTTCTGCATCAGCACCACCTCTAGGGGGACGCAGCCCATCTAAAAAATCCAGATGTCTGGTTTGTGTAATGCAAAGTGAAAGATGAATTCAAAGTATGGTGGTGATTTCACTCACTCTCAGTTCACCTTGCACTCTCTTGTTGTCAGTGTACTTGATGGCCACCTGTTAGACATGAGCACAAGTCTTTATCTCTTCCATAGTATGTTTGTATTTGGTCGGAGATGTAGCATCAACAGGGGCGCTGCCAGGAATCTTGGGTCCCCTGACAAAACATCAGGTCAGGGGCCCCTGAGCGTCAAGGACAAAACACAATACCAACCGGTAAGGAGTCGGCAAGACGCAGGCCAGCGTAGACCGAACCAAAGCCCCCTTTTCCAATGAATCCCAGCTGCTTGTACTTTCCTTCAAAGTGAGCTGTACAGTCACAAAGATGACACTTTTAATAAAGCAATTACTACTGTAGGAGTTTTTAAGGTCAGTAAGGAAGACAAGAACACACACTTGTCTTCCTCTTTACTCTTGGTAAAGATTTTGTGGTGCACATTTTCACTCCAGAAACTGGATAATAATTAATAATTATTAACAATTAATTATTAATTAATTGTTAATAATTAACAATTAAGAGATCCTTTCAGAGGACTCTACTGTTGCAACAGTCGGTGGTACAGTCCTAGTGTCCATTGTTTGCAGTCGTCCGGGTTTGTCAAGGCTTACGAGCATTTTGCAGTTCTTTTTGTTCGATGGGATTTACCAAAGACTGTCATTAGCTTCAGTAGAAACAAAATGGCTGCTTTGTGCCTACATAATCTGTTCCAGAAGCACGACCCATAAAGCATCAGCTAGCTTGCGCATGTGCTAATATAAATACTTCCAGGTAGGTTATTTTCTTTCGTTGATTTAATTTCGTTTTAAATTAAAAAAAATAGTGAACAGGTCATCTCCAAAATACAGGACAACACAGCTTGAGGCGTCCACCGTGACTCCATCTTGCAGAAGGCAGATGGAGTCACAACTGAACTGTTGTTTCCCCAAAAATTGAGTTAGTATTGTATGTTACTTCTATCTAACATGATGGATTAAAAGATGGATTTAATCAACACGATTTTTTTCCCCACTTTTTTAGCATTAGTATGTCTTTAAGCCAAAACTGCAACTTCAAGAAGACATTACTATGCAAACAGAATTAAAAAGTAATGCAAAACCAACTTGAAAAATATTCGACTTATCATTTAAATATTCAAATATATTGGATATTCACTTCAATATCCAGTAGAAAACTCCCGACAGCATGAACTGAATCGCGTCCCCTTTGACACGGTTAGCCCACAGATTCCTTTGTAGATTTAGAGTCTCTTTTTCTTCGCAGATTACTCAATATGTTTTTAAAATAAATTGTTTCTCTAGCTAGCTGTGACCTCTGACTGGAATACTCCTTAGAAGGTTCTTGCTTTCTACTTCAACAGAAATTCTTAATCAAGGTCATGTTACGTACGGAGAGGAGTGCCACCTAGTGTTTGTTAGAACAAATTGCAAACTGAGTCAAAACGTGACTCAGTGTGGGACACTTCAATTTGACTAAAATTACGGGACATCCCATCTAATACGAGACAGTTGGCATCCCTTGCTGACATAAGTATTTCAAAGTGTTGGCTCACATTTGCTTGTGCGAAGGTCACTGAGTGAGTTGTTGGTGCCATGTTCTGGCAGAGAGATCCTTTCAGAGGACTCTGCATCAGCACTGGCTGTCCTCTTCCACAACCGATTCAACGACTCTTCACTTGTAGCGCTGTTGGTGCTGCTATTGACGCTAACCACAATTATGCTTGGCAACAGACTGGTGTTTATGGCTCTTTTTTCTAGTTCCCTTTTAACAAAGCTTCTTTTTCGTTTTCTCCTTTCCCTGACAAACTTTACGGTCACCTTGTGAGCTTCACCAGCATTGTGGCTGTTGATGTTGCTGCAGCTTACTTTCCACAACTTCTTGTTGTCCAACTTAGTGACAACATCAGCCTTTCTATTCCTGCACCCGGATTCATTCATGTTGTTCATGTATTCATTAGCCAGACTCTTGTTATCTGAAAGAGGAAGGAGTTCATTGGAGAAAATGTTCCTCTATGTAGCCCAAGAACTTGCAGTATTGAGATCGGAGTGTGCTGACACAGCAAAGTCTAAAACCATATAACAAAAATACTTAGAATTAAACACCTTGACAAACATTCCTGTATTGTTCAAAAGAAATTGTTCAACATGAGTAGGAATAAATCAATCAGCTAGATCATCACACATTTCCCTGGAAAAATGGTTTTCTTCTTCGAAATAATTTTGTCAGTTTTTAAATGAAATATGGTGTTGCATTTATTATAACAGCTTTCCAGTATTACCAATCACACAAAACACCTTACACAACATCACGCATTTGCACACACATTCAAAGATTGGAAGCCAGCTAAAAGCGCATTAAGCTGGAATTGAATCGACAACCTTCAGATCATGAGACTACTCATAAGGCATAGTACATACACAGGGTATGTACTACGGTACATACTGTACTACAGCCAATATAGCTGTGTAGTATGTAGCTGTAATATGATGTTACAAATATGCCAATTAACATATTTCTCTTATATACAAGATTTACCAGATCTACTGTTGTTACAGTGAATTTAAGCCACATTATTAAAAATAATATACTGTACTGAGCTTATAGCATACTATGAACCAAATGAAAGTGCAACTGTGTAGGATGACAAAACAAAACAAATGGGCATGTGTATTTGTGCATTAAAATTCAACAGACTGTTTACAATATGAAAATAAAAACTCTGCAAACAGTGATGTTATTTTAGTTAGAGTTCTTCTGACTCCCACCACCTACATGCCCAAAGTGAGTACAATAATAATACAAGATAATGATGTTACAAATTTTATGCTCTTCATAAAACGATCATCTTAACTGCATCAGACAATTTCTTTTGGACGCATTGTGCAGCCGAGCTATATGGCAAAAATATGGAACACTGCTTACAGAAATATATCAAAATTTTAAGGATGTGAGAAATAAACTGCATCCCTCAGCATGCACTGTTTCAGTGGATTTTTGTCTTTTGTCCCACCACACTGTTTATCATCACCTATTTTGAGATGAATGGAGCAGTTACTTTTAATAAATAGAATTTCTTGATGTACAGATTGTTCTTCCTTTACAAACCACTAACCTTACCCTGTTGTTTTACAGTCATAGAAGCAGTCATTGCCATTTTCCTGAGGAAGCTTAAAGGTAGTTTCTGTGAAAAATCAAATGTCATTGTCGGTCGATAGGTGTGATGTGTACTTGTACACACTGGAGTGATATCATTGCCAATGTTCTAGAGTCATCACAATGACGAGATGTTCCATTCCAAAGGCGTTGACATTTGAAAATGTACCACAGTCGAAATTCTGTCCTGTTCTGGATCATATTTCATCAATTTATGAAGTACAAGCATCTGTAATAACGTTTGAAGTAGTGATCAGGCTGTATTGCTTCATATCTTTTTCTTTCATAATGTGCCTGGAGATTACAATCGTTGTGACTTGGTGCTGTGTAAATAAACTAAATTAAACTGAATATTCTGAGTCTGTAGTGTTGAAATAGAATTTTAAGTTAGCACAATACTGCACAGGATAGTTTTTGATACATATGAAATATAACATAGAAAGTTAAAGTACACTCTAATGCATATAAATTTAGATAATACTAGAACAACGGCTCACTCTATGAACGCAGATAAAGATAAATTCTTAAAAAGAGGAGTAGACAGAACACAGGCCTAGACTCCTTGGATCTCTTTAGATAGGGAGCCTGTCTGCCAGGCAATTAACAAATTCCTGAGCATGGTTCAAAAGTTCACTAGGATATTAAAACTTTTTATAAATAATTTTATCTATATTAGAATTAACTATATTTCTTTAAGCATGTTTTTAATTAGTTACTTATTAGATCCAAACTTATAGTCATTATTTAGCATTACATTGTGTGCAAGCTTGGTTAAAAAAAACCACCAACTAGTTTCTTGTTGAAGCATCTTGAGGCAGAGATAACGTTCCAGTTCCACGCTGTAAATCAGGTCGGAGCCTGGTACGAGAAGAGCTGCAGGTTGGGTCTCAGAGGTAATAACATTAACATTAAGACAGCCCACACAAAGGAAAAGAACACACCTCCTAATGCATATATTTAAATGAGGAGAATACGCAGTCTATAAAAAATGGTTTGTTTTACAGCAGGAGTTCGAATATCTTTATGCTGAGTGAGAGTTTCCCGGAGGATGCATCTTCTGTTAATCTTTTGTTTTTTTTTACTCAGTTCTTTGTCTCTGTTTTGTCATGTCTTGGACTTTTTGATAATCTAGGGTGAGATGCTTGTTGTAACATTCTGAACTGCATTGAATTTCTCTGGATAAAACTCTGAATATCTGAAGTCTGACATCGTATGATTGCTCTTTTCTCTCTGCACACTTACACAGACACAGGAATTCGGGACAAAGAATTAATTAACGAGCTAAATCAAGTTATTCCTCTTTTTAATTCTTAACAGTAGATACTAGTTTACATAATAAGCTAGTTCACATATTTGTGTAAGCTGGCTTACAAAAAGTACTACTTCTAGTTTTTTTTTCTTCAAAGGCTTCTCTGCTGTAGAGAATTATGTAGCAGTGACTATGTGAGTGAATTAAATGAATCTGCTGCAGTTACTTAAAAACTTTAGAACTTCGTCTTCCAGCTACGACGAAACATGCGGCTGCAAATCAAATATTCACGAAGATCAAGACTTGTAGGTTTCTTTGGTCTGACCTCTACAAACAGTTCAATGGCTGGGTCCAGACCAACATCCTCTTTCACTTCCTATTTTTGGTTTCCATGAATTCAAAGTTTTATGCCTTTACTACAGTGGCTTTCATTTTTAACTACAGATATGTCGAAAAAGTATTCACATCTCTAAAATACAAAGACCTCCACAGCACCTGGAGAGATCCACCAACAAGAATCTGAGGAGAGGAGATGCACTCTGCAAATTGGGCCCACATGAAAGTGTAAGAAGAACAAAAATAGAATTTCTTAAGTACAAATAATAAATCCTACTTCAAGTCTCCTTTTGGTCACTCTCAAACCAGACGTTTACATACAGTGAAATAAACGACATGCACCTTTTTATCCCACTGTCTAAAGTTAAATCAGACCAAACGTCTCCTGTTTTTAGGTCAGTTAGAATGACCAAAATTATTTATTCTTGCTAAATTCCACAATAATGACAGAAAAGAAAACAGCAGGTGTTTTTAAAATCAGACTTTTATGTACGGTACGTTTTTATAACTGGGTCAGGTTTGTACGCACACACCTTTTCAGATCTACCAGTAAATTCTCAGAGTTTTGTCTCATTTTGGCCGTTAGAACATCTACAATTTCTCTTTCTAAAGTCTTAACAACTACACCAATAGCAGTCACTCCTTGGACATAATGACTAACCTACAAAATGCCACTACTAGAACATGAACGTCCAACTTTTGGACAAACCTCATGGCACTACAATCTGAACTGAAGGGTCATCAGCGAAACAAAATGCAATCACATTAATCGTTTTAACACATGCGATCGGTTTCCTTCTGGTCTCTGAGTCTCTGTGCTGCCTTGCTGAAGAAATGGAGACCATTAGCAGCAATCAATGAGACTGCTACTTAGTCAGCCTTCACAGAGAGAGAAAAGTGCAGTGAGCAGGCAGAATCGTGGTATTTTGAAAAAAAAAAAAAAAGGGGAAGGGGTGGGGTTTGGGAGAGGATGACGATCTATGGTCATGTCAGGACTGCAGAGATGGAAATTGTTGCCAAAATTATGATGGGAGTCATTCATCTGGAAATAATCTGTGATGTGTGCTTACAGAGCACAGACGATTTAGCTCTGATGACAAAAAAAACTATAGGTGTGGCAGGAGCTGGTATTATTTCAGCTTACTTATTGTAAATTACTTCAATGGTGACATATAATAAAGAAGCAATAAACACAAATGCTTACATATTGAAATTCATACAAACAGAAGAGTTTGGTACTGCCACCTCTGACCAATGTTGTCTTTGATAGTAATAATTAGTTCTTAGTCATCTAACCTGGTTAACTTTAGGTTAAAAAATAATAAAAGTAATAATTATCGACATTGTTCTCACAGGGCAAGCGACAAAAGGACAGGTAAATCACACAATGTGAATTTGGGAAATTAGAAATTAGATTTCTGCTCTAAAAGCAAAACTGTAGGAAAGATGAAATAATTTGAAATAATATTTGTTAATTTATTTTGCTTTAATTTGAAATTTCATCCCAGGTCCTAACATAAAATTTTGGTCAGGGCCCTCAAAAAAGTTTGGACCGGCTCCGTAACCAGTGCACAACGGCCATAGAAACATAAGTTTTGTTTAATATAAGTGTGCCTTGTTTAATCCCAAGAGAATTTTCAAAATGTGTTTATTTCATATTTAAAAAACAAAATGTTTGAGCTGGAAAAGAAGTAGAAAACTTTAGATTCCTGTCTAGAAACAAAACAAAGGGCATTTTTGGGGGGTTTAACTTTGCCCACCAGTTTTGTTTTATTATTTTCAAACATGAAGAATGTAAAATAAATTTAAATGCCCCAAAACATAAAACCCTCTCAATTACCTGCTAAACTGTTAAATTCTAAAGCATAGAATTTCGACATACTAGATTAAAAACTGCATATATATATATATATAGCATTTTATGTCCTTCAAAATCCATTTTTCTTGCTGTCGAATATATTATTTGATTTTAAAGCGATATTGATTCATAAAGAGTTCACTTCAGGCCACCTGGATACTTTATTCTGTCTGACTTCAAGGCGTCATTTCGTATGAAATACGGTCCATTTGTCGGGGCTTTACGTCACGGTTTTTATCGCGACACCTTGGGAGATTCAGCTTTCATTCCAACGATGAGCAAAAATAAAAGACAGAAAACAACACGCATTTTTATCTCTTCCCTTCTGAATGGACCCCAAACTACAGTCTTTCAGTCAGATGAATTCTAATCAATACGTCAAGATAATCCCCAGAATATCCAAGGGAATCCGCAGCCATTGTGGAGGATAAAGCGTTTATAAACAGAGGCACATTGCGTGTCGTGAGCCAGCCCACTTCAATGTAGTAGGGGATTCTCGTGGGTTGAACCAATTCACCTGGCAGAAGGGGGGGCAAGTGGGGGACCGGATGAAGACGATGCTAATTTTCGTCAAATTTAAAGAGGAAACGTGCGAAAATGGCGTGTGTTGTGAAATGAGCCACCAGCATGCAGCGGATGACAATAAAAGAATCAAGATGGAGGGCGGGGTGAGCCTCGTTGTTCGAGGGCAGAAGGGCGGAGATCCCCCTCGAGATGACGTCACCACTCGGGGCGGCGAGCTGGAGAGAAATAGAGCGCTGAAGTCGGATGAAACCACATACACCGGTCGGACCGCAGCGAGTGATGATGTCTTCCCCGTGCATGTCTTCTCACAACTTCATCCCTTGAGACGGTACCTGTCGGGAAAATCCTGCTGTTACGCTCAGGTGAGACGAGGCGTTTCTAAATAGCTTCTCCAGCGTGTAGGAGGGAGGTTGAGGAGGACAAAGGCATCCGAGGATGAGGGTGTGTGTGTGTGTGTGTGTGTGTGTGTGTGTGTGTGTGTGTGTGTGTGCGTGTGTGTGTGGGTGTGTGTGTATGTGCGTGTGTGTGTGGTGTGTGTGTGTGTGTGTGTGTGTGTGTGTGTGTGTGTGTGTGTGTGTGTGTGTGTGGGTGTGTGTGTGTGAGGCTGAGAGAGGTACCAGTGCAGCAGGATGGAGCTGAAGGCCGGGAAATGATGAAACATCGCGCATGGGTGTCAAGAAGAGCGCGCAGCTCTAATTTATGCCAATTCGGAACAAAGTAGATCAAAAAATGGCATCACAGTGACTTATATTCACACTGCTATTAATAAAATAAAAAAAACACACACACATTTTTCTGACCGTATTTCTTTGCTGTTAGGTTGGGAGAAAAAATGACGAAATTGGGCGTTTTTTATTACATATTTTTCTTCTTCGTGTGTTGAATTCTTGCCTTAAACCCTACGTGTTTGCTTAAGCTAGCGTTTTAACACCCTGGTTCTGTGTTTTTAAGAAATCCTCTCCGCTCCCATTTTTTATTTATTTTTTTGGGGGGGCTGCTTTAGATGACCAGCTCCTTTTTGCTCCTCATTCAGCAGCTAATCTGAAAGCGCTAATCTAATCAGGATTTAATCCTGCGGTAGGTAGGCGGGAAGCGTGCTCTCCCCTCAGGAGGACCCCCACCAAACCCCATGACATTCTATTCAGAGGAAGCTTGAAACGGGTGGAAGTGAAACGGACGTGTGTTAATGAGCA